TCAGAAGCGTTCGATCTCTATGTCTCAAAGCGAGGAAGCGTCAACGGCTCACAATCAGTCCGGCTTCGAGCACATCTCTGCTAACGATTCGAATATTGACGAGAAATTTCAGGCTGCTGTCGATATAGTGGCCAGTTTGCCCATAGAAGGTATATTGTTTAATTTTTGCGAATACTTACTCTACAAAACATCAGCAAATTCTTTTTCGTGGTTTTTTAACATCGTGTGATTTTATTCATCATAAGTGAGAGTTCGTGGAAGTTTTCAAGATTTAATTGTAGGGTGAGGGCTATTTCTGAAAGTATGAGTGTTATTAACGGAAGAGCGGATGTAGGGACAAGTGCGCACTATCTCTTACGCACGGTCAGGGGTTCAAATCGATATCCGCCTCGGCCAACCAAGCCTTCCATTCCTCCAGGGTCGATTAATTGGTACCAAGCTCGTCTTTGAGTATGAAAGCTTTGAATTGTACATTATCTGGCCTTCGCAAGTAATTGCATAGGCCCCATACACTTTCAATGCGCACTACGATTTTAAATGGAAGTCGAGTGGGGTGTGTCCTTAAGACGAGATTGAATAACGTCAAAACGCTTCATCATTTACCGTGTTGGAGAACTTTACTTTGTGAATGTGATTTAAACAAATGCCTATCATGCCCATGGAAACAGTTTGCCACGAAATTCGCCTAACAAAAAGTTGTCGAGACCTGGCCTTGAAATAAATCATGCCTTCAGTTTTTGCGAATTAGTGAAGAGTGAATTCTTCAAAAATATTTGTGATCTAACTTCACTTTTCATATTTTAGTGGTTTAACGAAACCTGTAAAGCAATTGCCACTAACACTTTCCACAGATGACAAAACTTGGGGAGGCACTGTTTCGAACCGGTTCGTAAAGTCGTGCTCTCGTTTTGGCAACAGTTCTCGATGATGCACTGATTGCTGTAAGGTTTTTATCAGATGGTCGTAATTCCGATTATTTTTCATCTTGTAGGAAGAATGCCATTCTTCTTGACTAGGCCCTCGTCAGACCTTCTCTGCTCCTTCATTGCTATGGACTCGATTGCCTGGACAGGGTCTCATTCAGCAATTTGATACTATCAACATAATTTGTCGGTCACGGTCTGTTGCTGGTGCGGCAGTTTTACGAGGCATTCACAGGCTGGACAAAAGAAAATGAAATTGAAATGATGAAAAATAATGAAAAAAAAACAACTTCCATTTTCGGTCTTCTTGAAACCTGGGCATTTTACATGATGTTTAATACTGCTTTGCCGAACAGGTTTGTTATGGTTGAACCGCTTTATTGGTCAACGTTTCTTCGTTAATCAGAGCCTTCGAACTATTTTCAGGTCCTGAAGACGACGATTCAGTCGAAACGTTGACCAATAAAGCGGTTCAACCATAACAATCTATACGGCAAAGCGGTATTAAACATAATGAAAAAGAAATTCCTAGATCAGAAGAATAGCAGTTCCTGGAAGAAATAGGTGACCAAACCGCTTGTCCACGTCTCAGTCAACTAAAAAAATCCATCAATCGATTATTATGAACTTTATGAGGTTAGATGGGCTATGCATCCTAAACCATTCGGGATTGTGGTGATAGTTTTCAATCTTGCTCTCGTTTTTTTTGTACAAGCGTTGGTAGTATTCGTCGCTGGTCGAGGTTTTCAGTGGAACTATTCATCAAACTAACAGCCAAAGGTTTGGACGTAATAGTCGTCTACAGAGACCTAAACACAACTCGAGATGATTTACAACATCCAACAAGCGTTAGTTCCCCTTCAACCAAACAACTACGTGTCGAAAACTCGTTGAAGATCTCCCCACTTTACGGAAGATCACCGAGGTTCCACCGCTCAAATGGACAGAATCGATGCCTCCACGGGCGACTGTCAGTACGGATGAGATTCGTTGATGTCTCCGTTACACTTATGATAAGGGAAATGAGTACTGATGAGTCATTTGTTCACGGTCCAGCCCATCCAGTTGGTTGCGGGCCCTGTCTACGTTAAAACCAGCATTTTATCGGAAGGCCGGTTGACCCGCTCTAGATGGGCGGAA